TGCTGTTGCTGCTGCTGCTGCTGTTGCTGCTACTACTGCCGGTGGTGTTTGTTACAACCAGCAAATTAGCTGCCAGAAGAATGTAATTTCGACCGCTGACTCCGCGCGACATACTAATTACACGTTAAAACATATCGTTTGCAAGCGAACCGTACATACGTTCGACGAAATTTAATTAAACTACGTCGGATTCGTATAAAAGGTGAGTTTAACAACCTACGTTCGAGTGTGTAGACGCGTGTCGAACAGAGACAGAGAAACTAGCTTCACCCTACGTATCTCTACAATTGTCCCGATGTCGATGTATATCATCATTTGTCGATTTAGAATTCGACCGTGTGTTACAATTACGTAGGATTATTTAATTGCTAATTAACCTCACCTGCACGATTATCAAGGGTGTCGAAGCGATGGAACCATGAACACTAGCGCGCACACACGCGTGTCGACAGATAAACATTTGTGTGAAAATTTGTTAATATAAAAGTTCAAACGCGCCTGCTGTAGCAAGTTGAAACGTTGGGCACAGACGCGCGCACACGTATAGAAGCACTGAATTTTAATGGAAACGAGTGTTTATGCATTGCGAAAGGTAAATGAAAATTATTCGATACCGAAGTTTAAACACGACTATCCGACGCGGCGGCGAAACTACGACTGAGTTGGAAGTATACCTAAACCCGGCTTAAGATAGTTAAGACCGCGACTTTGGATCGACCGAACATATTCTGCAAAAACAATGTCGGGTGTGTTTACGTCGTGGATTCCACGATCCTATCCTTGCGCTGGAAATATTCCACAAGTTGTAAACACCGAGGGTGAACAGGAACCGCGAAAGTAAAAATCGGGTCGAGTCGGGTCGAGTCGGGACGACTCGTGATCCGCCAAAAGTACCGTCGTAAAATAACAATATCCCGCATTCTCGAAATTTCCCGTACGAAATTTGCATTTCAGGACAGATCTTTTATTTCCTACGAATGAAAAATCATCTCCTTTCCCTCCCCCCGGTTGTACGCTTCACGTGGAACGTAATATGGAAATTATCCTTTTCCCGTTACGTTTCAACGGGAAGTTTCGAGATTTGAATGTTAGCTCGTATCAAATAAACTTCCGATTCTCGTACACCCTCTGGTAAACATACTGGCAACGCGTGTGCATCCGAAAAACTCCCGGGGAAAATTCATAACGAGATACAGGACGTAGGCGCAATTACGCTTACACCGCAACTATGCTCGTAGAACGGGATGATTCTTTCTGAAAAAACAAGCGGTGAACGTGGAACGGAAATTTCTCTTTTCGAAGCTCTTCGATTTTCTAACTAAACGTCGATTCCCGTATCAAAATTCGAGTCGACGAATTTAAGAAAAATACTCGTTTCTTCTCAAGATCTTAACCCTTTCCTGGGCAAATTTTTTTGAAGAATTTCTTGTTTATCTATCGATCGTTGCGTTTGGAATGGATATTATGCACCGATGAATTTTTATTCGAGTACTCGAGTAGGACACGTGGGAAGCAAGGGTCAAAGGTCACGAAAGGGTTAAGTAATTAAGTAATCTCCATGTACCAGGTGTAACAGTAATAACCTATATTCTACAAAAGACTTTGGACACGATGTGAAGGTATTGGCAAAATTTCCCGTATAAAAATCTAATTTCCCCGTTAATCGAAATTGAATGAAAATCAACAGCAACAGATTCGAAAGAAATACACATATTCGACGTCGCAAAAATTTCAACCCTTTCTCCCGATGCATATTCATCGACCTCTCGCGATTCCAACGATTCCAAATTTCTCCCCCCCCTCGTTCTCATTCGTCGTCAAAGATAGATTCACGTGAGAATGTTTTTTTAAGAATTCACAGAGAACTTGGAGCTAGGCACCGTAGGAAATTTCTGGTGTACGGTGATCGATGCACGCCGCGGTCCCCGCGGTACGGAATCAGCACGAGCAATGTTTACGCTGACACGATACCACACGGCAGACGTGTATTTGCGTCACTGCCGAAGGGAATATACGATATAACGTATACAGACGTTAGCCAGAGCATCGCTAATTCGCGTCGACGTGAATCGAGGGACATAGAACCAACAGCCACGCTTTGCAACGTGATCGTCACGCTAGGCCGATCATCAAAACCACGGAGGCCCGTTTCATCGCCCGGTTTGACCGTCTTTGCAGCCTCGACGATAAGGGATGCAAGGAGGGGAAACCTTTAGACTCTCCACGTTAAACTTGGTATTATCGCTTCGAGATAAAGTTCTGTCCTTCACGAGATGTCGTGAATCGCTACACAGGAGGAAATTATCAGCAGCTTTTATCCTTGCTTAGTGTGTTTTCAAGTATCGATTGTGAACCGGTTTCGTTCACACGGTTAACTTAGGCTGAATAATCTGTTACACTGTTGGATAACGAAGATCTGCACGGTGTGTATTTACAGGTTGAACGAATTGAAATGGATTCGAGGGGGGAGAATTTCGCGAAATATTCCATCAACGTCCGTGTATTTTTGGCTCGCGTGTCCAGCTCTCTCGCTCTATCGGGTCTTGTTCGTGTCGCGCGTCAACTTAATATCGCGCGAGCCGGCTGAATATCAACAAGCTTTCACTTTATAAACTCTGTTTAATCCACGAGTACCGTCTATGTGCAATTTATGCTGATCCAGCCGCGCGCAAGAGGCTGCTTCGGGGTTAGTTCGATTCCCCGGACTGATTCGATTAGAACTCGAGTTTCCGCTTCTCGGGAAGAACCGTACGTTTGAAACCGCGTTTTCCTGTCTTTTGACGTGACTCGTGTCCCGTAAATTCGACTAAATATTAGTTTTCTACGGTGGGAAAGAAGTTGCTTCGTTAATATGGTTAGCTTATTATACAGGCCGGGACACGTGAAACAGGTTACCTA